ACAACCCCCCAGTGGGGCAGACCACAGAGACTGTTAATGCTCCTCAGGGTGGAAGCTCTCCCGCAGGGCCCTCTGGATACTGACAGCCCCCCGATGGACCTCCTGGATGGCAGCCTGCAGCAAGTGCAGCCAGGCTGATGGCAACGCATCCACAAGATGCACCGGAGTGCCCAGGGGAAGCTCTGGCTCCATGTTGTGGAGTGCTGTGATGTCCTGAGTGAGGGCAACCAGATCACGCAGAGACACAAATACTTTGCTGTCCCTCATCGAAGTAGACAAGCAAGCAGGGAAACCTGAGAACTGTCTGTCTGGGGTGGGGGTAGGGTCCCTTTAAGCACAGACCTCAGTTAGCCTCAGGCAGCAGCCCCACACATTATGTCCTGACCTGGTGCCCTGCCGGAACTGGTTCCAGCCAGCCTTAACTCCGATTCAGAGTCCATTCAGTGTGGACGCGCTATTTCAAAATAGCAAAACACTATTTTGAAATAGATTTTGTGTGTAGATTTCAAATTAAGTTAACTCGAATTGACGCTGTAGTGTAGACATACCCTCTCAGACACTGCATCCCATCCTACACCCCTTCCCCAAGTCATAATCCACTTCTGCACCCATACCCCCTCCTGGACCCTGCATCCCAGTCCCCTGTCCCAGATCACAACCCCCTCCTTCACCCAAACTCCCTCTCAGACCTCACACCCTCTCCTGCAGCCCTGCCCCAAGTTCCTTTCTGCACACAATCTCTGTCTCAGACCCTGCACCCCCTCCATAGAAAAGTGCAGCCCTTGACCACTTACCAAAATCTTGGAGTGCCCCCTCCATCAAAAATAATTGCTCACCCTTGGGATTACTACTGCTGTATGTAATTATGGCTAGTTAGAGAAAGCTATCAATCATCACACAGTGGTTAGAGATTAAAAGGGTTGAGCAAACTACTTTTGACCAACCTCCATTAAAAATAATAGCCTACAGAGCAGTATTTTTTAAAACTGTGTTCTGTGGGACACCGGTGTGCCGCGAGGCAGTCGGACGTGTGCCGCGGAGAACAACAGAGTTCAAAAGGGACAGGAGACATTTTTTTTTTGCTCAATAACTCCTCCCACCCTTTTTCTTTTTGCTCAACAAAAAATCCTTGGTGTTCCTCATAAAAAAAAAACATTGTTTGGTGTTCCTCTGTCTTAACAAGTTTAAGAAACACTGCTGCAGAGGATTTCTCAAGTAAATAGTCAGTTCTTTGCCCAGTCTTCTCAATCCATGAATAAAGAGCAAAGTTTCATGTGGATAATTTTCAAAAAGAAATGTCAAGGGCAATTCAATTTCCTTACTAACTGTTACTTGCTGGAATTCAAGACACTCAAAGGATAGCTTAAAGCAGAAGTTCAAGACCTACAAGTGCCTCTGTGTGTGTGCACATTAAGGAGCTAGGGTTCTACCCTCTCATACCTGTTTTCTCATAGCAGGTTCTTGGGGTTTCTCAAATTTTCTTTTTCTTTGCATATGTACTTCATCTGACTTTCTCCTCAAAACAGAAGCAACAGGGGGCTTTTTGGAAGGTTCATTAGATTTCTGCCTGGGGGTTTCTTCACATTCCCCTTTCCATTTTGCTGCATCTGCTACTTCCTTATTATCTCTGGTCATCTTCTGTTCCTTAAGCAGCGAGCCTGGGAGATTCGAAGCGTATTTGAATCCTGGTCCACGCTTTTGCTTGAACGCCAAAGAGGGAGAAAACACAAACAAACTTTATATTTTATGGTTTTTTTGCTGTTGACCATATATTTCATCTGAAGCTTTTGTCCGCTTACAAGCAGTTGATTAAGCCACTAAATGGCTATTCACAAGCAGTCAGTGTGGTAAATAATTTCAACCTCTGAGGAGATTTTCCTCTATATAAAACATACTTTCTATCTCCATCTTAGATGATAAAGAATCTAATGTTTCACTAGTTATAAGGGACACTTCAGATTTGGTTTCATACAGCTTTACAAAAATCTAAAAAACAACAGCTTTTAGTTTGGATTTAAACATTCCCCCCTCTAAGGGATTTGCTACAATGTTTTGGTTACACTTTGTTGGTGCATAGAATCCTAAAGTGAAAATTACAGCAAACAAGAGGGGTGCCGACTAATTTATTTTCTTTGTGTCAGCTGACTATACAATAAGGAAAACTTATGAAAAGCAGAGAAAATTTTTAAATAGTCTAAAATTAATAGAAGACATGTTGGTTTGTTTACAATATGGCTTTATAGATTAATCGGGCTTCTGTTCCATAGTCCTAACAAGACAGCAACAAAAGAACTGGATGTAGGAGAGAATACACAAGATTTACTGTCTCATGCATTCCAGTGAAACTCACTTTCCCAGTTTTCCCTGCATGGTTGCACTTTGGACATTCCCAGCAGTTCGGCAGTTCATTGTTAACAACACCATCTGATTCCTTCACCTAAAAGAAAAGAGGCATAACCTGTTTGTAATATGTAGCCTTAAGTGGGAGTGCAAATCCACATACAGATTATTGCCAACTAGAAGCAGTCACTACACCAACAGGGGGCATTGCTATCCTTTTCTCAGATCAGTTGTTTTTCTTCCAATGGCTCTAGACTAGATACACTAAAGGAACAACACTACCCTGCTGGCACTATGATGTGCCTACTTCCAAACCTTTGAGTTTACTGACCAAACACCACCACCAAAGAAATCAAAAACAGACTGGCAAGTTTAATACTTGAAATGGATTTTAGTCTTGGCTTTTTGGCTAAGATCAGGGGTAATCCCAGGTTAAAAATTGACACATTCGCTATTAAAATACCATATCCCAGGGGTGGGCATTAATTTTTGCAGGGGGTCCATTTGATGAATTTTAGTATGTGGTCATAGGCCGGCCCCCAGAAGGGGTGGGGCCTAAGGCAGAAGGAGCAGGGCTTCAGGCAAAAAGGGGTGGTTCTCTCTAGGTGCCATATCCCCTGGCGGGGGCAGGGTGAGGAGACTTCACGCACTCCCCTGGCGGTTCCTTCTAAGCACCGCATGCCCCCACCCCCAGGCCAATTGGGACCTAGGGGCAAGGGAGTGCACAAAGTCATTCACTGTTCAAAATGGCTGGCAGTTCCCTCTAGGGAGCCACCAGTCACTTTGAACAGCGAATGACTTCATGCACTCCCCCACCCCCAGGTCTCAATTGGCCTGGAGGTGGGGGAGCAGCAGGGTGGACTGCGGGCTGGATCAAATGGCTTTTGTCCTTCTCTTGCCCCCCCCAGCCATATCCTGTACTTGTAGAGAAATGATTGTCCAATCATCTAATTGAAGACTGTCCTCTCCATCTTCAATTTACAATAAACTCTTTCACTCATTTCCCTCCAGTGGGCTAGCAGATGATCAGCCCTTTAATACTAAATATCACCCAGCTCTTATACAGCACTTTTCATTAGTAAGTCCAAAGCACTTCACAAAGGCAGTCAATATCATTATCCTCATTTTTACAGGTACAAAGGTCTCCTTCCCATTAACACAGAAATGTTTTTAAAAGTGAGGATTTTTGAAATGTACTTAAGTAAGCTCCTTAAAATGTTAGCCTCCAATACAGACAGGAAAATAACCACATGCCAGGCTGCAGCCCAAATGCCCCCAAAATGGAAATTGTCAGCTCAGGTCAAGGGGACAGGGTGAAACTTTCATTCAAAGTTAGGGTGTGCCTAGCAATTTTACTTCATAGCCCCCTGGCCCTCTGTGAGGAAGTGGAGAGTTTTGGGGG